GGTTTAATCAACAGAGAGCAATCTTAAAGGTTATTTAAAAAAAAAAAGAAAAGAAAAAAAGGAGGAAAAAAAGAAAAACCACCACCACCCAAGCTCTGAAACTGAAGAGCAAAGCGCAGTGCTTCCTGCCTTTGGGTAGATTAATGAAGGGGAGGCTTTGAAGGCTTTAATCTGAAACGGGTGCAGTGGTATTCTTAGGAGCTGCTTGATTTCTGAGTCTAAGAGCCCTCCCTCAGTTGTATGGATCTTCATACTGAGTGAGCTGACAAAAAGGAGATCTAATTATGGTTTTTTTTTCATCGAGGAAGCCGTGAAAGGCACTGTGTGCATTGCTCCAGGGATGGAGTCATACAGCACTGCCTGGCTTACTGCTGACCTCCTTTACATGAGCAGACTGCAGTGGACAAAATACATCTCTTGCACGTCTGGTTATTGGCGTTCCAAAGTATGGATTTTATTGAGAAGGCAGTAAAAGGGAACCACAGCAGCACTGTGACACCTGCATGTCCTGTTGCTCGTCCTTCGAATGGTGCTAGCAGTGGAATTCAATTTGATCTGGGTCTGGTATCCTTTGAGCCTGTAAGCTGAGTAATGGGCCAAGGCCTAAGCAGCTACTGCTTACACATCTGCATGTGGAGGTGAGGGACTCAGCTCCTGTGTTGCTTTCTTGAATTGGCATTCACTGTTAATATTTAACCATGACTCGCAGCTGTGCTTTATCCCCCTGGGACTGGAAATAGTGAGCTCTCCAGTTCCCTTTCTTCTCTACAAATCTGGCTGACTTTTTTCATGTGCACTGCTGACAATTAATGCCCTGTTGAGGCCATCTTCCAGCCGTGTGTCGGGCTGCATGTTGGCATCCTCCTGTCTTCAGCCATTGATCTGGGGGGGAACTCACCCTTTCCCCTCATGTGTCTGTGTTACAGGCAGGCACACATTGCTGTGGACGTATTCTGAACACTTCCATTCTAAAGCAATGACTGGAGGTTACAAACAAGGGAGAAATAGATGACAGAGTGCGTGTTCTGCGATTGCCTAATGACTTGTTAGGGAAATTGGAACAGCAAGTGTAGCCTTTGAATTGTGTTCACATCTTGATATGCCACCTTTGGCACATTCAGATCTTAAAAGGCAAAGAAAGAGATTTCATTTCATGAGGAAGTTGCCTGCCACGCTCTAATACAAGTCGTCTTAATGGATTATTAATGAACTCGTGAGGTGTACGTGCATCCTTGGTGCTGATAAACCACTGACATTAAAATTCAGCAGTTCTGTAGCTAACCTAATGAAAGGACAGCTGTGATGCTCAGAACAGAATGAAATAATGGCTCATAGGCCAAACAGAGAACGCCTCTAACGTTCCTTGTATCGCGTGTCAGGGGACCAGCCTGTGCTCCTCGCCATTCCCATGCTCATTGCGCAGTGTTTTTCTTGTCTGGGTGAATTGAATTGCTAGCTGGACTGGAAATGTGTCTACTGAAGAACTGCCTGTGGTGCTGCTTACATCCCTGACTTATGGTTTCTGTCATCCTTTTGGTCGGGCGGTTGTCGGAACTCAAAGAGAGAACTGAAGGCCTAAAACTTAGAACTGCAAAACCAAACGTGCGTGTGGTCCGGGTGGCTCCTTTGGGCTTCCAGTATTTTGGTGTTTTGTTTTTCCTGAGCATCACTCGTGCAAGGAGTCTGACACTAGGTGGCATGCTGCAGCCTGACCTGATTGAAGCAGTGGTGGTCACAGACGGATTGCTTTGGAGCCCTGCTTGTTGTAAGAGGTTTCTTATGCCTATGAAGCTGCTTGTTTGTTGTTACTCCAGAAACCTGCATCGCATCATGTGAAGCTCTCCTTTTGTCCAGGCGTGTTTGCTTTTCATGCAAGTTTAATGTAGAACATGTAAATATTTTCTTAAGTGAATGTTTGTTTTTTAGAAGTGCCTTTTAATAGGTACATGCGCGTGCATTTCAGTTCAGGCTTGATTTGCAATCTGCAGGCAGTTGATTTAATCAGAGATGTCATTTCTGGAACACAATTTGGAGTTTTTTGGGGGGGTTACTTTGATGTTTGCAGACTTCTTTCTGCATGTGCTTTGAAACAATTATGCAGATAGCTCTCACTTACCTGGTGTACCAGTTTCCCTCCAAATTGCTTGCTTGCCTGCTCTGATGGAGATGACGTATTCTGCTTTTCTTAGTGGTGTTTCCTGTGGATTGCTGTGATTTCTTGCCAGGTTATATGGAGAGAACCTGAATAGAAGACCTGGGATGCCTCTGCTGTTAATTTTTGTTCTGTTGGCTCATTGTAAGAGGTGTGTTAGGGAGAAATTGCCTCATTGCCCCTGCAGCCTTCCTCCAGCACGAGGCTGACACACACCTATGGGTCTGGTGGAGCTGCATGGCACATGGGGAAGCCGGGGGCAGCTGGGTGGCCAAACCATGTGCCCTTTGCAAGGAGGAAGCTGGGAGTCAAACAGAGTCATGTGAGCAGCATTTGGGAGCCCTTGTGTTCAGTGCTGGTAGGAAAACATGCCTTGTTGTGACAAGTAGCACAGAGCTGATGTACATTAACATTTACAGCAGGCTCTGTTTGCAGCGGTGGGTGTTTAACAAGCAAGTGTAAAGCATGTTTAACTCATTGCCACCTCTTCATCTTTAGTATGGAAATAATTTGGAAGGGCCTTTTTGCCTGCTAATTGGCTGATAAAGGCTATCCAAATCCTCTGCTGCCTTTTGTTCCATTGAAGCCTGCTGTGTGTGAGATGTTCCCATTTCAGTAAGCCTCTGTCTGTCCTGGCAGCAAACAAAGATGAGTCCAGCAAGCTGCTGATGTAATGTGTATGATGTAAGGGAGCTCACGGTGCTCCATGAGCTGTATGGTTGTAAATTTCTTTCAAAAGTGATGCTAAGTGTAGAGAGACGTTTTTCAGTAGGACAAAAGGTCGTCTTCCCTAAGTCAGGATGCTGTAGCACGGAGAAGATAGGCATGTGCTAACGTCTGGTTGAGATTCTTACCTCTGTGCGCTTCTCTAGGCTCTTAGTTGGATGTAGAATCATAGAATGACCTGAGTTGAATGACCACAATGCTCATCCAGTTCCAACCCCCTGCTATGTGCAGGGTTGCCAACCAGCAAACCAGGCTGCCCAGAGCCACATCCAGCCTGGCCTTGAATGCCTGCAGGGATGGGGCATGCATTGGAGAAAGAATCAGTTTTTGATCTATGAGACAGAAGCTGGCCTCGTGTTGGCTCTTACAGATGAGTTTGTGGAGGGGAGTGGGTACAGGAATGAGCTCAGCACCCTCACCTCATTCCATGCTGCAGGGCTGTGTGGAGCAGAGCCTGAGTTACTGCCATACCTGCCATGTTTTCCCATAGATTTGGGAAGTGAAGGGTTTCTTCCCCCCTCACGGAACTGGACTCGCGTGGTTCCAAACTGTTAACATTTCTTCAAGATCGGAGTAGAAATTTCCTGTTTGTAGGTTGTATCTGTGCATCTGGAGGGACAGATTGTTATAGCTACAGTCACATCCTGTGCTTATTGTAACTTAAGGAGAGCTATTGAATTTCTGAAGCTTTTGAATGTGAAAATGATTATTATATGAAAAATGTGGGGAGCTGTAGTCATGTTTTCTATCTCTGCTATGTCTTCAGTGAGAGCCTGTAAATCCACAGCTAACTTGGTGTGTCTGTGTGCTCATGGCTGCTATTTGTGGTGTGTTGAGAAAATCTCTTGGTAAAGAATCTGTCTTATTTTGGAGAGGTTGTAAAGGAAGCATTTGGCAGTCATTTCCTTTCGCTTGTGAGTCTGAGCATGCTTTGTGTTATAATAGTTTAAACATACCACAGGCTGTTGATAGAGGTATCAAATTTTCCATTCCCAAAGTAACTTTTAGTTGAAACTGGAGGGAAGAATGGGCAAGTTTCCATTGTTGTACAGCTGCTTTGATGGAGTTGAAAAGATGTTTGCTTGCTTCTTCCTTCCCTTCTGTGCTTGACTGCATACCCCCGCCATGGATTTTTGTACAACCCACAGCATTGCTGTGTAGTGAAGGTTTCATCTTGCTGGTTCTTATGATAATTAACACTTAATTACCTTCTTCAATCCATGGATTAAATTTTCACGTATGTTAATTTTTTTCCTGTTTTGTTGTGGCTTTTAGCAAATGTCTTTTTTGTTTTCCTTTTTGCTTTCATACCTTCAGACATAAGCAGTGTATCACCTTAGAGTTAAATTCAAGGGGTTGCTGAGCAGGTTGAGCTATTGCTGTATGCATACCACAATCTGGTGGATAGAATTGGATTTTGTTGTGATGTTTTCAGTTTACTCAGCATCATTCTGCAATTTGGCGTTTTCCAGGGCAAGGATTTTCTGACAGATGTGAACTTTTTCTGCTTCAGTGTCTGCCTCTCCTGCCTTGTTTTGGTTTCCTGCTGTGCAGAGCTGTAGCTGGGTTTCAGGTTGCCTGTCTCGCTCCTTGTTCTCTAGCAGCTTGGTCACAGTATCCCAACTGAATTGATTATGTTTTGTACTTACATACTTAGATGAAGTACATGAAAGCTTTTGGTGTAAACATCCTGCCAAGTCACCGAGTTCCTCACCTCGGTCATCTGAATGACCTTTCATCACTTCTTGCTCAGCTCTTCCCAAAGTGAGCATGCTGGCTTTCCTCCTCCTGGAGGTGCAGCTACTTTGGAGCACTGTCCCAAAGCCAGCTTAAAACGTGAAAGGAAAAGTCTGTCCCCTGCCCCTTCCTTGTATTCATCTTTTCTGGTAGCTGTGTTGAAGCCACAGGACCCCAGCAAGGAGCCCCAGCAGCTCTCTGTGCAGCCTGTACCAATGCTTGGTCACCAGCACAGTGAGGATGTATCTGGTGGTCTGGGGGAGCTCCTGTGCTCCATTTTGTACCTGTGTCCTGTTCTTGGGCACCATTTGGCAGAGCCTGACTCTGTTCCTTCCCCCCCTTCCCCCCCCCAAGTTTTCCTAGACAGGGGTGGGATCCCCTCCTCCAGTTCCTCTCTCCCAGGCAGAGCAGCCTGGCAGATGCTCCAGCCCTGTCCTCAGCCTCAGGGCCTTTGGGGCTCTCCTTGTGTGCCCACCCCCCTGGTGCCGGGGGCCTGGGACTGGACCTGATGCTTGAGTTGTGCCCTTGTGCTGAGCAGGACAGGCAGGGTGCTCCATTCCCCACCCACTGTCTGCCTCAGGAGTTTGGCTTCTCAGCATTTGCAGGGGGGAGGCTGCAGGCTGGCACTGCTCTGAACGCTCACTTAATTGTGTGGGGACTTGAGATCACAAAGAGCTCCTAGTGGGCTCCGCAACAACTGTTTATTTTTTCATTTTTTCCTCAACACTTCCTCAGCTCGGTCTTTCTGTAAAATCCGGAGATTTCCAGCATGTGAAATTGCTTTAGCAGTCTTCACAGCTCCCTGGGGGAGCAACTTTTGTTTTCTCTCTTCCCTACTGTGACAGAAATGCTGCATGCATCCAAGATGCTGTATAAAAATAACCCAGCGGATTTCTTTCAGGCGTGCAGAGCGGAGTTCTGCAGGGCTCCCTTCATGTCCTTGAAGTCTCTATCACCACTCTGCAGCTGAGGTGATGTGCTGACTGTACCAGCAGCCCTCCTTGGGCTGTGTCATGGGTTTCAGATGGGCTGAGAACGAACCCGACGTGACTTAATCACAAGCAGTTGTACGAGCAGGCAGTGAGTACTGCTTTGTTTTTCAGAGGGATGTCAATGCTTTGCTCCTGATGGAATCAAGAGTGGGGCCCGAAGGTGGCACTGGCTGCCCAGGGGGTGGCTGGTGGCAGTTGGAGCAGCGCCTGGAATTGTGGGGGGCAGCAGTTGGGGCAGTTGGATGTGATGGTGCTGTGGTCCTGTTAGTGGGTCCTGCCCCCAGCACTGACCTGGGGGTGGATTTTAGTGCTGATTCCTAAGGGCTCGCAGGTGGATGTGAGGTCTTCTGAGTACAAGTGCTGTGTAAGTACAGAGTGGAAGTCAAGTTTTGAGCCATGAAATGCATGATAGAGTAGGAGCTGGTTCATTTCAGCGGGATCTGTGTTTGGTGCTGCGTAAATGGAGGCTTAGAACAGAACCACCTAACAGCCTTCCCAAAACGCTGGAAGTTCCTGCCCAGAAGGAATACGGGTTCCATCAGGGAGATCTGGAATGGTTAAGAAAATGGCAGATGCAAATTTCCGAAGTAGATTGAAGTAGTCTTACTTGCTGACTTGGTGCCTCTATTGCCTGCTAGAGATGGAAAGGTGTGCGAGAGGAAGCAGGCAGAACGCTGTGTTTAACTGCAGAGCTTACATTCTCCTTTGGTTTGGATTACAGAATGAATGCTGGCCTTTGGATCGTGCAGAAGCAGTAGTAGTGTTACACTGAATTTCCTCTGAGAGATGACTTTTGGGTAGTGTGGAAAAGCACTCTCCTAACTGGGGCTGCTGCAGCTGAGCTGGGCACGAAGCTGCATGGACATGGATTTGTGTTTCCATGGGCTGTGCAGGTGTACACTGACACACGAGTGTAGGTGGATGTGCTGCTCACGCAGGTCTGAAGGACTGTGTAGGTGGCAGGAGCTGCTTTGTTGGGAGCTGGGTGACACTTAGCCGTGTTGGTACTGATAAAACAGACCATGTCTGCAAAGGAGCAAAATATCACCTCTGCTCCACGAAAGGTTTTGTGTTTGGAATACATAGCACGGTGTCAGCAGGTTGGAGCTGCTCTCTGCAGAGGAGCCTCCAGGTGACCATTGCCCCTGGGGAGTTCTCTGACTGATTTCAGAGCTTAAACCACCTTCTTGAGGCTTCTTGTTGTCAAATGCCTTGCTGTTCTGGCTGGGAACATGTGCACAGCCGGTGATGGTAGGAAAACTTGTGCTGAGGACTGGGATTAAGTGACAGAAGAGAAGCAGAGCTGCGGCAGTGCGATGCTGTTAGCTGGTTCTCCTTGAACCTGTTCCCTTCCTCTTCCTTCCACCCCGTTTCTAAACCTGAAGGGAGAGCTTGATTTACGTGAAGCTGAGAACAGTGTTAAGTCTCCTTTTAAAAATAGGTTTGGCTTAGCAGGGGTTTAATGCGTAACACTTGTTGCTTGCCTGAGCTGGGAAGTGATGTTAGAAAGCACTTGTCGCAATCGCATCTCCGTGTGTTCTTAAAATGAATTTAAGTTACTTTATTGCTTTGGTGCAGTGTGTGCGAGGTAGGTGGTGTACTTGAATCTGCTTTAAACCAGTGAGCTGGATGGCCCCAGTTTGCTGCTGGCAGGTGTTTGTGGAGCTCTTTGCCCTGGATGTCTCTTAAAGAGAAAATGAGTTCCCATCCCATCAGTCTAATCTCATTCAGTCTGTTTACAGTCTGTTTTGAGCATACGCATCTGGTAGACCTTGAGCTGTTCCTCTGATGAGTGAAATACTGTGTCTGTAATTGTCGGTGCTGCTGGTGGGCATCGCCTTGAAGCTGTGGGATCTGTGCAGAGCTGTCAGCACGGTACGTGGCACTTTTGGGCCTGTGCACGAGTGAGACAGGCCTCAGGTTGGGAAGTGCACTCGTGAGAAGCAGTGGATGCGGCCGTGGTGTGTTGGGAAGCGGCAAATACGGATTTAACGACCAAGAAAATATTTTTTTTCAGCCCGTTTTCAAAAGGCAAGATGAAAAGTGCCCGTTGCAAATGGAGCTCGAGGCTGCACTCGGTGTGTGGTTTTGTTTCTCTGTGTGAAATGGGGGCAGATGACGTGGCTGGAGGAAGGCCGATTAGTGCAAGCTGAGTTGCTCCCCATGGCAGTGATGGATGCTGGAGTGGTTGTGTTCATTCAGGAACCTCCCATGTGCTGCATACAACCAGATGGGACTTCAGATGGCCCTACTGCCAAAGCCCCACCTTGTTCACCTGGCTCTGCAGGCAGCACCTGAAGCTGCAGTGCTCTCCAGCTCGTCCTGCTGCATGCCGCACCAACAGTATGCATTCTAATGGGATACACAAGTTCAACAGGTTTATGGTTTTTTGACTGCACTTTGCGGGCACGCACCGTCTCCTAGGAGTAGTGGTTCAGAGTGGCAGGGAGCTCTGTCCTGAAGTGATAAGGCAGTTTTAATAGCTCCCATCAAATAGTATTTTTGCAAATAAATGGAACTTGGCCTGAATGAACTTTCTGCTGGGAAGCTCTTTTGGAAGTCATGGGAAGCCGATACTTCCTCCAGCACACGCTAGAGCAGTCAGTTCGTTTCAGTGGCTTGCCAGATGTCGGGCCACATTTGATTAGGAAATTGCAGTGAGGATAGATGCCGCGTGGTTGCTTTGAGCTGACCCAAGGGTTGGGTTTCAGCCCGGGCAGGTTTGCAGCTCTCCCACAGCTCCTTGGCGCTGGAGCTGATCCCGAGGCAGCTCCTCCAGGCCGGGCTCCAGCTGCGATTTATTTACTGGTAAGATGTTCGCTTGGATTTGCTGTGCAGGGCAGAAGCGTGCGCTGCTCCGTGCCGACCGCACAGCGCACCTTACGTGCCGAGCCGCACGGCCGCAGGTAAACAAACGCTCGCTATTAAAAAACAGAAGGGCCGATTTAAGCGTACGATGAAGGCGAACGGGTTTTACCGAGCGGCTGAATTCACGCGGGGGGAGGAGGGCAGGCTTTCCGGCACAACGGCTCGAACGAACCCCGCCGGACCGGAGCCCCGAGGTCCCCGCAGGCCGCCGTGCAGTGCGGGCGGTTCGGAGGGGCCGCGCTCCGCGCCGGGTTTTCCCCCTCGCCGCCCGCCGGGCCGCGCTCCGTGCCCGCCTCCTGCCGCTGCCGGGCGGGTGGCGGCGGGCCCGGGGGGACGAGGCTCGCTCCGCCGCCTCTCCGCTCCCGGCCCAGCTGCCTGCACGCCGGGCGGCCGGCGGAGGGGCCTCCTTTTGTTCGCTGCTCCGCGGGAGACGCCGCCGCCAGCGGGTGAGTGCCGGGGCGCGGCTGTGCGAGGGGGGACCGCGGGCGCTCCGTCCCCGGAGGGTGTGCGCAGGGGCTCCTCGCATTTGGGACCGTGCTGCTGTCCGGGCGTTGTTTTTACCCTATGGGGAAAGTTGGATCGACTCGGTGGGTGAGGAGCTCAGGATGCGTGCGGACCCTTTCGCTTCACTTCTGTGTTGCGAATCCAACAAGCTAAACGGATGTGAGGCGTGTAATTTCTTACTTGAAGCAGATGGGATGAGGAGATGGAGGCTGGGGCTGACCCAGGCGGAGCGCTCTCGCCCCGCATAGAACGGCTTCGGAGCGGCAGAGCCTGAGCTCCCCGTGCTGCTCCGTGCCCACACTGCTCCCCTGCGACGGCACCCGGGCCTGGTTGGAGCCCAACGTGAGGCAGCAGGGCTGGGTTTGAGGGACTCTCAGATATCCAGCAATGTTCCTTCTGGGAGCTGGAAGTAAACAGGACTTAAAGCCCGGCACACAGAGGAGCGCTATGCCGATGTAAAGCCATTAATCTGCAGGCAATTAGTTCCAGCCGCGCAGCCAGCTCGGTGTTTTTGTCAGTTTTTTGTTCTTACAGACGACGGCGTATTTCAGGACTTAGAGAGCCTAGTAAATATCACAAGACAGACATTTCAGGCGCTTAGCAGCAAGTTGAGAAGCGTGTGGGAGCAGCGTTTAAAAAGCCCTTATTTGTGTTTCCAGCCCTGTAATTTAGCAGCGTTTCAACTATTTTTATCGAGCTCGGTGGGAGCAGCAGAAGGTGGCAGTGAGCTGTTGGATGTGGCTGTGCTGGGAGGGTTCCACCATTCCTCCCTCCTGCTGGGGAGCAGCGTTGCTCTGGTGCACGGTGAGGCTCGGGCTGCATGTGAGCAGCTTTCCAGAGAAAAAGGCAGTGAAGAATTTATCTTTTCTTGTGGTTGGGATTTATGAATTGAGGCGAGGGCTGACGTCATGTATCCTCCCGCTTCCTTTGTGTGTGTGTGTTAGAGTTGATAGTGCTTTGTTTTACTTCAAATAGCCACAACTGTGCCTTGAATCCCCCCGTAGCTCTGTTGCTGTGGCCCTCGGTGCGGGCGGGCGGTTGGTTCTGTTGTGCCTCTTTGAGTGGCTTCTATGTGAAGTAGATGAGCCCTTAATTGTAATTACCACAGTGCTGCACGCAGCTGTTCTGCCTGCGTTGGCTGTCTGCAGCTTTAGCGCAGGTTGTGGGGATTCTCTTGGTGTCTCAGCTCTTCTTTACCTGGAGGTGATGAGGTGGGACTTTTGTTTCCCAGCGTGAGTGGTTAATAGCGCATCCCAGAGGGCTTTTGTTTGTACTTTGTGTAAAGATATAAGCTGTTTGTTATTGAGCTTTAATCCTAAGGCTTTGTTTTTAGGTAGCATAGCCTTCACCAACCCGTACGCACAGCCCAGAGGTCCCAGCAGCTGCTGCAGCTTCTGGTTTGTGCTGTTGCTGCCACAGGGATGGACCTCTGTGCGGGTGGAGCACTTACAAGGTTGTATTCAACACCTATAGAAAAGCTTTATAGAAACAGAGCCATTCCATGTTGGCAGCTGAGATTCGTCTTCCTGCTGCTGAAATGCAGATGGAACGGGACACGTGCAGCAGGTGAACAGAGGGCACATCTCCACCGAGTCAGACTGACTGCAAATCCAGCCTGATGCACGCTGAGGGTCCCTACTAACTGCTGCTGATAGCTATGGTTGGGGTTTGTAGCTGCAGAAGGCAGCTGTCTGGGACGTGGGGTGCTGCAGGCTGTGAGGAGGTTGCTCTGGTGGAGATGTGCCCTTCACTGAGCACACAGCTTTATAGGGCTGCCCCTGGCTCTTAGGTCAGCGTGTGTGTGCTGATGTTTCTTGGTTCTGGGATTCCTTAAGCAGATATAGCATCAACACAACTTCTCTCTGTATGCTCCAAGAGGACTAAAATGGGATTGGGAAACAGTAAAAACCAATGTTTCTGCAGTCTGTTGGTATGTGCTGCTAACGTGGTGTTTCACCTGAGGTCTGCTGACTGGTGTACAAACAAACCCAA